AAAAAGGTGATAATACTATAAATAATAATCATCATCATTTTATTTGAAAAGCGCCTTTCAGGACACCCAAGGACACTTATAGCATTATATCATCATAGAAGAATGTGTGAAATTACAGAGACAAGCTGGCATGAATTACAAAGCATGGATTACAAATGAAGTTAAGATGGATATGCTAATCTAAAGAGATGTGTTTTCAAAGCAGACTTGAACACAGGAAGAGAGGTGGTGTTTCTTAGGTCAGGTGGTAGAGAGTTCCAGAGGAGAGGTGCAGAACAGGTGAAGGCCCTGCTCCCTTGGTGGAGAGGCGGGCAGTGGGTACTTGGAGGTTTAGGGAAGAAGAGGATTTGAGAGAGCGGGAGGGGATGGAGATGTGTACGAGGTTGGACATGTAAAGAGGGGCAAGATGGTGGATAGCTTTTAAACGTGAGAAGAAGAATTTTGAAGACGATGCGTGATTTGACCGGGAGCCAGTGGAGCTGCTGCAGGACTGGGGTGATGTGGTTATGGGAGGAGGTTTGGGTGATGGCACGTGCAGCCGAGTTCTGGATCATCTGAAGCTTATGGAGGGATTTGTTGGGGAGGCCAAAAAGAAGAGAGTTACAGTAGTCAATCCATGAGGTCACAAGACTGTGGACAAGGATGGCTGTGGTGCTGGGTGTGAGAGAAGGACGGAGACGGTTGATATTTCTGAGGTGGAAGTAGGCAGACCGAGTAACATTATTGATGTGAGCAGTGAAGGAGAGAGTGGTGTCGATGATGACACCAAGACTTTTGACCTGAGGGGAGGGGGTTAGCAGAGAGTTGTTGATAGGGATGAGGAGATTATTAGATTTTGAGATTGAATTTTTAGTGCAGACAAGAATGATTTCTGTTTTATCACTACTCATTTGAAGGAAATTGTCTGAAAACCAGTGATTGAGTTCAGACCGTCAGTGAGGATGGAGGGAGGGTGTGTGGAGTTTGGCTTGGTTGACAGGTAGAGCTGTGTGTCATCGGCATAACAATGGAAACGGATACCAAATTTGCGGAAAATGTAACCAAGAGGAAGGAGGTAAGTAATGAAGAGAAGGGGTCCAAGGACAGAGCCTTGGGGCATGCCAGTGGAGATGGCGGATGACTCAGAGCGGAAGGATTTAATCTGGATGAATTGAGTGCGGTCAGAAAGATAAGATTTGAACCAGTCAAACGCAGTACCTGAGCTGCCAACGAATGTGAGTCTGTTGAGTGGAACAGAATGAGAGATCGTATCAAAAGCAGCACTTAGGTCATGTAGGATGAGGATGGACAGGAGACMAGAGTCAGCAGCAAGGAGAAGATCAGTGGTGATTTTTACGAGGGCGGTTTCAGTGCTGTGGTGGGGGCGAAAACCATTGATTGAACCGTTCACATAAATTTTAATTTATCATTTTCCCCTGGTATTTTTCCTGTCAATATGAAAACAGCCAAGGTAATTCCTCTTTTTAAAATTGGTGAGAAACATGTGTCCAAAAATTACAGACCAATATCCTTGTTACCATAGTTTTATAAAATTTTAGAGAAATTAATTGTCACCAGATTGGATCAATTTATCGAAAAACATAAAATCTTAAGTAGTAGTCAGTATGGGTTTAGAGCTGAAAATTCCACATCAATGGCTCTTGTGGAATTTATGGAACAAATAACAACTGCTATCAATCAAAAAGAGTACTGTGTGAGTATTTGTGTAGATTTAAAGAAAGCATTTGACACAATTGATCACAGTATTCTTCTTGAAAAATTAAGTATGGTATTAGAGGGTCTGCAACTACAATGTGTATCTAGTTATTTGAAAGCTACAGTCTGTACAGATAAATGGTGTAAGATCTAAACTTGATAATATCACATGTGGAGTCCCTCATGGCTGTGTACTGGGACCTAAGTTATTTATTTTATAAGTAAATGACTTAGTAAATGTGTCRGGACTTTTCAAATGTGTTATTTGCTCATGATACATATTTTGTTTAGGTAAAGCTATGGAAAAAATGTTTGAGATGGTACAGAAAGAATTTGAGAAAATACAAAATTGGTTTCAACAAAACAAAATGTCACTAAATTTGGATAAAACAAATTAATCTCACTAATATCATCCAGGCGCGGCTGCTAACGGCTACCGACACTAACAGACTCAGCTAACTTACTCCCCAAAGGCRATAAACTGCAGCATTACAAACTCTTAGAATCACAATAGAAGCAGAATCACAACATCATCTAACCATTTAACTCATCAGAAGTTTGTACTTTTGGCTTGAAACTTCTAATAAATCACGGAGCTTCGTCAATTCTCACAGAACGTCAGAAAGCAAAAGGGACGTGCTGCTGACGTCCTGCACACATATTTACCACCACCTGCCACCAGGGGCGACAAAACYCCATAAACAAAAAGAACCCTGAATACATGTAACCTAACCCTAACCTAACTCCTTGCAAATATTTGGTGTAAAACAAGTAAAATATAAAAAATAGCTGCATTTTGACAAAATTCAATAAACAATAACAACACATACACACATTAACACAGCATTTAATAAGTGTGCTCAGTTAGCAGTAAACTGGTACAGTGTGTTGTTAGAGGTAAAATTTTATGCACTGGGTTTATAATTACATATAGCATTTAGTTTTATGTATCTTTTACGGTCTACTTATGGTAAAGTAGGACCCCCAAAACACATCTTGCTTAGGGCCCCCAAATGTCTAGGACCGGCCCTGTTTAGTTTGGATTATTTTTCAGTTTTTACCTGCCTAAAATAATAAATATTTTGGACGTTTTGCAATCCTGTCTGTTGTCTTAGGTCTTTCTAAAGCTTTGTATTTAGACTTCATTTAAAATTGACAAAAATGTCTTTTGCTGGGGCTTTAAAAGGTAATTGTTTCATGAGTGAAATCTTTTAAGTGTGCAGTTCTGCAAAAATATTCTCCACATGAAGCCTGCGATAATTGTATTTTTCTCAATTACGACAGTATTTCTATTTTTAGCTCAGAATCCACGTAAATACTAGTAGAATAATATTTTGTAGTAATTCTGTCAGCTAAAATGAATGCACCTGCCAAACGGAGTCGCTTGGGAGGGCGATTATAGACGGGGAACGGATCTTCGTGGAGAAATGGCGCCTCGGTGCTGCGCTCACTGAGGCGGTGTTTGGAGCCGGTTGGAGTGATTCGATGAGGACAGTTTGAAAGGCGGAAACATGGAGAACACGAGGAAAAGCTCCCGG